TCAAAATGAGGATTTTATCCTAGGAGAGCTACCAGATGTTCGTTGCGAGCAACGACCACCAATTCCTTACGCATCGGTGCTGGCAGAAAGTGGGGTATAAATGAAAGGAGCAATTTAAGTCATATGGCAATCTGGCAAAGCACTTTCACGTTTTAATTATGCTGCAGAAAGGTCAAGGCTGGATCGGTGTCGGTAGAGGGATAATTTGCTTTTATAGTTTATGAACGTGCTTCTCCGAAACTGAAGAACCAAGAACCGGAGAATGAAACAAAATTTTCCTGTGAGGGCTGTCAGTTCCGATCCAATTTTCAAACAGCCCTCCAGAGGCGTCCTGAAATTTTACCGGCTTATCCTACATTTCCAGAGTGACTGTGCAGTTCTGAAGTCAGGGCTGGAGCATTTCCAGCTTGAGAAGGATGCAAAAATGAGAGAATCACCAAATGGTTTGGGTTGGAAGTGACCTTGAAGATCCTCTAGTTCCAACCCCCCTGCCCTGGGCAGGGATACCTCCCAGTAGACCAGGTTGCTCAAAGCTGGCATCGCTGCAAGCCCCAACATGCCTCAGGGGATGTGGCTGGGCTTGGTGCTGTACATCCCTCCCCGGCAGCAAGAAATGGCCCCAGAGCTCCCAAGTCCGAATAGATAAGCACGGAGCAGGGCTCCATACCAAAAACAGAGAGTTAAAGTGATTTACTTAAGGATAAGAGTCCTCTCTCCTGAGAAGACACCCCCCTCTACCCCGCCTCATGCCCCTTGATTGCTTTATCTCTGTGGTGCGGGTGGAGCTGCAAGGAACTCTCAGGCAGGGCAATGGTTAATTCAAGGAGAAAGCAGAAGGAAAATCTTGCTACAGATTTAATTCCCACAGTTGTCCTCGCTTACCTCTGTTGTAAACCTGAGGGCCTGCATGCGGGCGGGAGTGTTTCTGTTAGAAATGCTTCTGACAATAAATATTGTGAAAATCAGCATTGTTTTGTTAAAAAAAAAAAGAATGGATGTGCACTTCCAGTGACCTCTATTTTTCACTTCACTGAAGTGATTATAAATGGCTTTACTTCTCCATCAGTGCCTTTGCTGTGGACACTATTCAGTGTTCTTACCTCGCTGCCCATACCCAGGTGTGCGGAATTGTTCACTCGTGTTTCCAAACGCTTCCTCTGCCCCAAGCTGGCGCAGATTCTGCTCCCCCAAAAATGATTCAAAACTTGCTGCTGTGGTTGTCTACCCTGAAGGAGCGCCCAGGCTGGACACATGGGTACAGCACGGACCATTTCCATGCTCAGCTTGGTCCTCTTCAACTCATTGACCGGCATGGGACCTGGGCAGGGGCTGGAGAGACATGTACTTGAAAAAGGGTGTTGGACCAGTGGATCATGCAATCATAGAATGGTTTGGGTTGGAAGGGAGCTTGAAGATCATCCAGTCCCACCCCCCTTCCATGGGCAGAGACACCTCCCACCAGAGCAGGTTGCTCCAAGCCCCCTCCAACCTGGCCTTCAACCCCTCCAGGGATGGGGCAGCCACAGCTTCTCGGGGCAACCTGGGCCAGGCTCTCACCATTCTCACAGCAAAGAATTTCTTCCTGAGATCTCATCTCAATGTCCCCTCTTTCAGTTTAAAACCGTTCCCCCTCCTCCTAGGGCTCCCCTCCCTGATCCAGAGTTCCTCCCCAGCTTTCCTGGAGCCCCTTTATGGACTTGAAGGGGCTGGAAGGTCTCCCCGAAGCCTTCTCTTCTCCAGCCCTCACAGCATTTTCAGATCCTTCAGAAGGTGATCACCCTCAGATCAGATCCCTCCAAGAGTGAGCATGGGAGCTGTAGGGTGGCCTTGTGGTCAGAAGAGCATCAGAAGATGTTGTGGGCCAAAATAAGGGTTAGGGCTGAGCGTGGAAATGGGAAGAGCCACGGGGAAGCGCTTGGCAGGAATTGGGGCAAGTTTGCAGAGCTGAATAGAGAGGTCTCCCCCTCTCTGGGCTTTATCCAGCCCTACCAAGGAATAGCTGAGCCAGTGCCAGGAACTGGAAAGTGAAACTGCACAAAGGCAGAGAGGGAAAAAAAAAAAAAAAAAAAAAAAAAAAAAAAAAACATTCATTGCTATCCAGTGAAAGTGGCTCCAGCTCTGCAACGTGCCAGATAACATCACGAGACCAGAACTTCTATGGGCAACTCTGTACAGAAAAATTCTTGAGGGTTGGGCAGGAAGCAGTCTTTCTAATGGATGGCTGAAAAAATCCTATAGAATAAGTAGCAGACTATCCTACTGTAAAACTTAAAGGCAGATGTTTTCCTAACAGTTACAAAAATGTTCCCGGTGTCTGGGTCAGAAAGAGAAAAAAAAAAAAAAAAAAAAAAAAAAAAGAAAACGAAATCCAAGCTGAAAAGCTGGAATGAAAGAACACTAGAGCGAAAAGCCGATGCACTGGAAATAATTTATTCCGACTGAATCCGCTGAGTGATTCCGATCGTGGAGGGGCGAGGAGCCCGAGCCGAGCTCAGGAATGTTGCGCTTGGACCCACCGGTTTATTTACAGCGTTTCTGTTGCTCCCCCTCCTCCTGCGCTGAGCTGGAGCCAGCGAGTGAGAGGGAGGGAAGGAGGGAGGGAAAGAGAGGCAGAGAGCCTTCTGCGGTCGGCGGGGGCCTATAAATAGCTGGTGAAGTCTTCTAATACCAAGAGGGTGCGTCATGATGGCCCTCCCCAGCTCCCACCGTGCCAGAGGGAGCTGCAGCAGCACCCAGAGCCGAGCAGCTGGGCTTGGCACCGGACCGACACGGGAGAGGGAGGCCGGGAGGTGCAACGAGGGGGAAAAGGGGGGAAAAAATGAGCCACTCATCCTTAAAAGCTGCCTCATCTGAGCATTGCAAAGCATATTCCCATTCTTGCTTTCTTGGCTTCACAGTCCGCGCCGGGGAAATGCCTCTTCCTGGAATAAATGGGCGTCTGAGGTCTCCGTCTCCACCTGAGATGTTGGGGTGATTTCTGAAGTCCTTCCCCCTCCACCTCGCTCCTCCTCACCCTGGAGTAGGGGACCAGAGGAGAAAGAAGAGGTGATGGAGTAAGTTCAGCAAGACGGGCAGGCTGGTTCAGTGTCACCGACCAGTGACCCCTTCTTCACCAGGTTTAAATGTGGCTCTCAAAGGCAAAAGTCGGAGGGAGGCTAGAGCGGATTTCTAACCCAAATTTCCCCCCCTTTGTCACCACTCCCCCCACACCGCTGGAGGTAGCCCTCTTCTAAATAAGGCTGCTGCTCCTGCCTGGTCTTTTTAAACCATTGCTGTCTAATCCAGATTTCAGGGCTGGGGGGTTAGAGAACCTTCATTTTCTGAGCTCTTGCTCTCAGCCCCATAGCAGCAAGCTGCGGTAAAGCACCTCTTGCAAAGAACCTGTGTCTAAGACACCATAAAATGCTTGCATAAATATGGGGAGGACTTTTTATACTAACTAAAATGAGACTCCAGTCCTTTTCCCTTTTTTTGTGCCACACCGGTATGTTTTTTGAGCATCCTAACCTGCTTTGTTTCAGTCATTTCTCCATCTGCTTTGTATCTCTTAATTACTCTTTGGAAGGTTTTGCAAATTCAAATGCAATTTGATGTATGTTTCCAGGAGTGCAGTTAATGGACATCTCCCTATCAGACACCAGTTTCAGCACCTTATGATGCCACTGATTAAAGGGTGAGGACAGATTGGCCAAATCTCACAGGTTTCAACCGTCTTCCAGAAGAAATTTCTCGTTATGGAGCATTGTTGGAAACTGCTGACATCAATCCAATGGAAAGAAGTGGAATAACCCACTGGCAAATTCTTTCTATCTGTGTCTACTTGCTCAAAAATCGGCCTGTTAAACAAAAAGATGCCAGGCTGACAGAGGCAAGTCTCTCTGCCAAGCCGGTGCCATGAGATGCGCTCCTTTTCAAAGAAGATGGCAAACTCTCCCAGATTCGGGGCTCTTTATGGGGACCACCAGCACCACATCAATGTCCGGTGGAGGAACCACTTCTCCGTGAAATTGCACCACATCCAGCAACTGGAGACCCCTCCAGGCATCCTAATTTCCTAAATTTCCTGAAGATATTGATGCCCTGGTGCAGCGTGGCGTTGGCTAAGGGCAGCCTCTGCAAGAGGAGGCGCAGCTTTCCATGGATTTTTGAACACCCAGCGGGTTTATCAGTACGAAACCCAGCAGCGAGAGAGAGAGGGGGATGAGGACGATGGTTAATCTGTTTGGGTATCAACAGAGGTCAGTGGCAATTAAGGAGCAGCACATGGAGGGCTCTCAGGGGAGACTGCAGTGCTTGCAGCAAGGGATGGGATGCTGCTGAGACCATCCCCATGTAGGAGCAACTTGCACCCAAGGTGTGTTTGACTCCGAGCCTCCCTGTTTTCTCAGTGTCTGAAAAGTTTCAGCTTCAAAACACTTGAGTTCTGTGAGCGTTTTGGAAGGACGGATGCAGAAAGAATTGGCAATCCTACCTCCCCCTCCAAAAAAAACCACCCAAAAATAAAATTCTTGATGTGAGACTTCTGTCTAGGCTGACTCTTAAGAGGAGACAGTGGATTTGGGAATAATCGATACATGATTATAATGTAAAACCATATAATTATTATAAAATGAGCTCTGAATGCGGGAGCCAGGCTCGCCCTGGGATGTGCTCTTCTGTGTCCCTTTGCACCCAAGCCAAGCTCCATATGGGTTGCAAGAGCCTGGGACAGAGACATTTGTGTCCTGTCCTTTATTACCTGCTCCGGGCAAACCCCATCTGTGAGGACAAGGTGTCTTGAGTGCCCATGTCCCACTGTCCCCTTGCGTTTTTCCATCATGCTGGAAATGTCTTCACTGTGCTGATTTGGTCCCCAGCTCTGCTCTCAGCAACATACAGCTGGAGGAAGAGCAGCCTCCCCAGGCAGACCTGTTCAGTCCCAGGGAAGCCTCAAACCCCTTTTCCCCATCCTTGTTAATCCAAAAGAATTTGGGTATGTACATCTTTTCATGGGGAGAAAATAAAACGTGACTTAAAAGAGATTCTGAACATCTTTTTTTTCTAACAGGGAGATCCACGCTGGCAACAGGCTTGATAGGAGCTGGGATCTACCTTTCTGAGCTGAAATTGTGAGGATTACTTACACGTTTAAAAATAAACCCACGTTGAAATTCCCATGTTGGATTAAGACCTAAGCCCTGCAATTGTCACTTTTCCCGCCAGAGGAAAGTGCCAGTGGCTTTAACTAAATATACTGTCTGCATCGTGACCTGCCATTTCCAGATTGTTTCTCTTTCCCCTTGTACTGGAACTCCTCCACGTTTCTCTAAGTTTATTTTACTTTTTGGTTGGTTTGCTTTTTTCTTCACCGATTCATCACCTTTCCTGCTACATCTCTTTTCCCTCAGCCGTATGCGATCTCTCATCCTGGCCTTTCTGTTGCTTCCCCAGCCTTCTCTGCCCATTTCCCACCCGTTGCTTCAAACTTGGGAGAAACTGCCCATGCTATAAACGGTGGAAATATTAAAGCCAAATTCACCCCGGATTTGTGTCTAACGACATGCGAGAGCTCATAGAATTTTTTTCTAGGGTTTGGGCCAATTTTCTGATAGGGATTCTCCAATGTCTAACGAGTTGTGCTGACATGCAGCCATTTCCAGGTGGCACGTGGTCTTTGGGATGAGCCTGATGAAAAAAAGTGGACTCATGCTTTTGTCAAATGTGAAGAAGAAACTACGAGCATCAACAAGGAAAAGGCAAGGATTTCACGTGAGTCTGGTGTTTTACCCTGTGCTTGTTTTGCTTCGAACGAAAAATGTTTATGGCCAGCTTTTAAAGCATTTTGGTTTCTGTTGGTTCACCTGGTTTTGCCTCTCTCTCCCTACAGCTGGAAAAGAAAAGAAGATACTAAATAATTTAAAAAAAAATTAAAATATTTTGAAAAAAGAGAGTAAATGGATTACTTTTCAGTAATCATTTCAGGAAAGCTTCACAGAAACCCAGAATACTTCCATTAAATCAGAAGCGTAGCATGGACCAGCACCTGCTTCCAGTACAGTGCTGGCTCTTGGTGCTTGCTTGGGCTCCAGTCCTGCTAAAAACTCAGTGATGGAAACATGCAGCGTTTTGCTGATCACCTACACCACACCACAGGAAAAAGCCCAGCCGTACCCGAGTCAGTCCCAACGCAGGCGATATCATGACTCTGTGGGACTTGCCTAAGAGACAGGAAGGTGTCAGCTCATTAGCTTTTCCCTCCGCGGGGCTCTTCTACCCAAAACCCTGGGGAAAGCCTTTTCTGTGCGTTCGTCTTATATATTGCTAAATAAGAGAGCCAGGGAGCAGCCTCCAGCCCCAAAGCCAAACGTGTTCCAGGTGCAGCACCCCAAAGCCGTTCTTACTATTTTTCGCGTGTGTTTTTGGTGGTTGTTGTTTTTTTTTTCAATATTTAAAATAACACCAGCTCTCTGTTGCAGCTTGCCAACAAGAGGTTTTCAAGGCGTGCTCAGGAATGGGGTTTCACACGCTCTGGCATCATGAGGGTGTTGAGGTGTAAAACCTCACTGGGATAAGGTGGGAGGATGGGGCATCAGCAGTGCTGGAGATGAGCTTGTCTCTCTCCCAGGAGAACATCCGCAGTGTCTAAGCCAGGGAACCAGCTGACAGCCAGGCAGTGCTGCCAAGGTCCTCTTCTGTTTGGTGGCACAGACACAGCCTTTGGGACCCTTCTCTGCTTGGTTTTTACTTGGGGGGACAGGACTGAAGGGGGAGGAAGGGGAATGTCAGGAGAGAGGTGTACACTTGAGGATCAAGTGCCTTTCTGTAGGAAAACTTCCTGAAAAGCTCAACTGCCCCCTTCCCAAAAAAAAAAAAAGAAGTGAGAAGATAAGGCTGATGCCAAAGGTGACTCGCAGTGTTTCAGCTGAATTCACCACTTCATTTTACACGGCATACCCTTAATGCATTCCCCCTAAAGTAACCCCTTAGCAGTACTAAAACCAACCCCTGTTTACTTACCGATAGTGACTGGCTCATCACTAGTGATGTTATGCTGCTTCTCAGCTCCCATTAATTGCCAGCAGCAGCTCGCCCAGCCTGTCCCTCCCCACCAGCAGTATTTCAGCTCAGGGTAGAGCAGGGGGCAGCTCTCACACCACTCAGACATCACTGATTATCCAGGAACCAGATCTGTCCCTCACCCCAAAGGGTTGATTTTACCCGTGTCAGGTCATTATGTTAATTCCAAGACACTTCCCCTCCCCTGCTGTTTATTTTTGCCAGTTCCCTGAGGACCTGCACAGGGTTGCCTCTACGGACACCTTGCCTGGGTGCAAATCCACCAACTGTAGTCTTGGATAGGGAAAATTAAGACACAAACATCATTGCTCATAACGTGGCGTAAGATTCCCCCATCCATGTTTACAATAAATAGCCCTCTCTTGCCAGGGGGAAATAATTTCCCCTCTCCAAGCTGCTTTTTTTTTTCCTCCTGGCCTTCCTAGCTGCTGCATTGATCAGCGTCTCAAAGAGGTCTTAATTTGAGTTGTTTCCTAATGCGCAATGTGTGCAAGATCAAGCTTTTTTTTTTCCCCAAGAATTTGCTGGTACAAAAGAAACGTATTTCACAATGAGGAGAACGATTGCCATTAAAAATATCAAAGCGTGATGATACCCGCTTTGTAGTTAACGTTCCAAAGGACACTTTTAATTCAAATTCCCTCTTTTCAGGAGCTTCCCCTTCTGAAATTCCTCTCTGTTGTTAAGTAGCCCAAAGGGGGATTTTTTTTGTGTGTGTGCATGGGAAGTTTGGCATAATTCATTCAGGATATTGTGGTAATGGGGTTATTCTAAGCATGAAACAAGATAATTTTCACGCCTTGTGGAAGCCGTTCTCCCGTTTGCCTAATTTCAAGTCGTTTCCCTTTTGATTGTAGGTGGCAGCTGATGTGTCCTGGACACTGGGGCAGCGTGTTTGACCAGCTGGGACTGATCCTGACCCAGGCTCTTCTCCATCACCTGGAATAAGGTCAGCGCTGTGAGCAGGAGATGTGGATATGGCCAAGGGGAAACCGCAGCCCCTGGTCTCCTCACTCACTCCTCCCAGCCAGCCCACTCCAGCCCCTGGAGGTCTGATGGTCCCCCCCCAAAACAGGGAGGGATAGCCTGCAAATTTGGGAAGAGCTGGCAGTCATCTTTCTGGGCTGGGGTGAGCTGTGATTTTAGGGAGCGCACTCAGATCCTCATCTAATCACCAAAAAGAGGAGGCAAAGAGCCAGTGCCCACTCTTACAAGAGATGCATCCTCCCCTCCATTCCACCCCGCTCATGTTATCCCCTGTTAACCATGGGTTAGATGCTTGACGTGTATTTAAGGGCCTGGGAGTGCAAATAGATACCTAAAATCCCGCTGACAGGCTGGGGAGGTAGATGCTAACCTAGCTTAGATGCTTTTGGACTTCCCCGTCCCACAGCAAACTTCTGCTGAGCTCCTTGCTGGGCCTGTAGGGATGAAATAGCCTTGGGAGTCTGGCCCAGGAGCACGCACACATGTGCTTTGCTGAACTGCAACCTGGGGGTGTAGACCTTTGAAACGCTGTCCCTCCGTTTGGGAAGACAGTGATTGACAGCTGATTTTTGCCATAACCCAGTCCCTCTCACTGTTACCCTGAAAATGCGTTCGCAGTGTGGATGGTTCCGTTTGTGATGATGATTTATAATACCTATAAACACTGCTGCTGTTGCAGCTAAGCCCAGCATCCCCCCCCTTCCCTCCCTCCCTCCCCAAAACACGTGACCCTGTTATTATGGGCATTTAAAACACACGTGGCAAGTGAGACTGGGCGATTTCGGGAGCCCGGACCCCCCACGCTCCAGTGTGACGGCGCTGCCCGTCGTGCCAGGCGGAGGAGGGACGAAGGCTTGCCAAAGGAGGCTTTATATCATCGCCGGGCTGCCCCTGTGCTGCAGCTGGCAGGGGACCAGCGCAGGTCCTGGCACCCTTTCTCACCGTCTCAGGGCAGCTCTGATTTATGCCTGGCTCTTGTGGCCCTCCAAGGGTTGTCCCAGCCAGAGCAGCAGGCGCTTCACATATCTCCTGGCCATCTGCACCCCAAGCCTGGCTCTGGGCAGAGAACCAACAGCATCCTGGCCTGTATCAGGAACAGCATGGCGAGTAGGGCCCGAGAGGTGATTGTCCCCCTGTACTCGGCACTGGTGAGGCCTCACCTTGAGTACTGTGTCCAGTTTTGGGCCCCCTACCATAAAAAAGACATTGAGGTGCTGGAGCGGGTCCAGAGAAGGGCGACAAAGCTGGTGAGGGGTCTGGAGAATAAGTCTTATGAGGAGAGGCTGAGGGAACTGGGGTTATTCAGCCTGGAGGAGGCTGAGGGGAGACCTTATTGCCCTCTACAACTCCCTGAAAGGAGGGTGTAGAGAGGTGGGGGTCAGTCTCTTCTCCCAAGTCACAGGCGACAGGACAAGAGGAAATGGCCTCAAGTTGCGCCAGGGGAGGTTCAGGCTGGATATTAGGAAACTTTTTTTCACTGAAAGGGTTCTCAGCCATTGGAATGGGCTGCCCAGGGAGGTGGTTGAGGCACCATCCCTGGAGGTGTTCAAAAGACGGGTTGATGTAGTGCTGGGAGATATGGTTTAGTGATGGTGATGCTTCTTGTTTGTTGTGTGGGTGTCTATTTTTGTCAGTTAGGTTGACGGTTGGACAAGATGATCTCTAAGGTCCCTTCCAACCTAGAAGATTCTGTGATTCTGTGATTGCTATGCTTGTGCATGGCGTACCTTCAGATCCCAGCTATACAGGGGGCTGTAATCTTTATGGCAGACAAAATAGTTGCTTGAAATGCAAATTCATCAATTAACCCCCTTTTTGGTGGTGGAACTGAACACGTATTTCCCCACTGCTTGAGAGGAGGACATTCCTAGCCCCTGAAGCTTACAAAATGAAATAAAATGCTGCTGAAAGTTTAACACTGAACTGTGAAAGAACAACGAGAAGAAAGGCTTTTGTTTTCCCCCTCCTTTTTTTCTTGAACCGAACAGTACCTAACTGTTTAACTTGTGGCTGAGGATTATTTATGTAGGGCTCTTGTGTAGGTAAAGCGCCACGTCCCTGGCCCTCTGCCCACGGAGCACAGTGCGGGATCTCTCGTTACAAATTGCAGCTGTATAACATAACAGGAAACGTGGGGCTTTAAGTTATTCCACTGGAAAGATTAATTATTTGGAAAATAGTTATGCAGCGGCTTTGTGTATTTTTGGAGCAAAGGTGACCAGCGCCATCTTAAATTTAAAGAGAGAAAGTCACTGGGAAGGAAGAAAAAGAGACGCTTTAGAGAGTGGAAGTGTTGTGGGACAGTTTTATTATTTTTTTTTAAATAATGTTTGATTTGTCTGCTGTCACGGAAGGAGCAAAGCCAACCTTTGTGAAGGGAGCAGGTTGAGGCTGGCAGAGGGACAGGAGCTGCTGGATTCAGCTGGACCTTGACCCTTCCCATCCAAAACCCTATCCACCTGCTTGAGGGGAAGAAGCAGAAGTCCTTCCAATGGGAGAAGTCCTTCCAATGGGGGAGGCAGATGAGAAGCGAGCTTGGAGGCACAGGCTCAGTGTGACAGGTCGTGGTCTCCTAAAAGGATGCTGTGGACAGCCCGTGGGAAGACACCAGACCCTGGGGAGCCTTTTCCCTCTGGTTAAACACTCCTGAGAAGGCAAACATGGTGTTTGGAGGAGATCTTTTCCCAGGGGGCAGAGGGTGGGGTGACGAGTGATACCTCCCGCTCAGGTCAGTCCATCCAGCCTCGTCCCCCTGGCTGTGAGCTTCTTTATACACTTCACGGGATTTTAATTTGCTCCTCTGCATGTGAGCGATCACCCCAATTAAAGGAAACCACTTAAACAGCAAACTGGCTGCTGCAGGGTGTAGGCACGGGTGGTGGCCAAGTTCTCCCATCACCTCTGCGGATGCTGCCCTGTGACTTCAGAGAGGTCTGCGGCCAAAGTGCAACGTCTCACTGATTAGGATTCCTCTTAGCATCCAAATGTGCTTAAATAACTGGAGCTCTCCAGAGGGATGTGGTTTGGATAAAGGAGCAGTAGCTATTTTTAGGCAGCACAATGCACCTCTTAGTAAAGATTTTCCACTCAGACACTTCACCCGCGGCTGTTTTGTGGGAGCAGCTATCCCACACCTCACTTTGCACTAACCTGGTCCCCTGGGGCTTTTGCCTACCGCTGTGAGAGGGACCTGGTGGTCCCTCTCGGGTTGCTCAGCTAGAGCTGCAGAAACAAAAGCCCCGAGGGAGAAACCCTCCAGCATGAGCATCTCAGTGGGTTTGGGTAGGAACCTAGTAGAGACCGTGACTTCTGGCCTGGCAATCACACTGCCCTCTTCTCTCCTGCAGGCAGGACAAACGGGCAGGAGGTGTCCCAGGAATAACAAGATGTGGATCCCAACAAACACGTCCAGCATCCCTCCTTCCATCAACACACAGGGGAAGCCTGTTTTCAAAGCAGCGTGGTTTTCCCGCTCTGTACTGGAACAAGGATGATTAATAATAGATTAATAATAGCAATAGGCTACATTCAAGGTGCAAATGTCTCATAATTGATGCAGGATGGTCCATTATTTTCAATTTTTACATTCCAGGTCCTGGAGAAAAGCAACATCAGATTAAGGAGAGGTGTAAAGAAAATTTCTTATAAAATCAAGAATGCCTCCTATATAAGTAGCAAACCTAACAGAGAGTGCAGCCTCTTAACTTTCCAAGTTTTTTATTTCTGCCTCATTTGCTGCTACCTCAGACTAACCAAAACTCCGTGTTTGTCTAATATAAAACAACTATTTTTGCAAAACTCTTCAAGCCACAGCAGTTTAGCTCCACCACAGTAATTCACCACTCTACCATAGCAAATGCTAATATATGAAAAAACCTGCTGGGTATTAAAAAAAAAAAAAAAAAAAAGAGGTGGAAATTATTTAATTTAATGCCTCTACGTTTCAGTGCATTTGATAGAAGGCAGAAGGCATATTTTTCATCAGCCAAAAAATAACATTAGTGGAAGGCTACTTTCTTTGCCGCATCACACCTCGTTGTGGTTGTTGGCTCTCAAGCTGAGCCCCACACATACCACCAAACTTAGTTTTTAGAATTTTATCCCCCTCGTGCTTCCCCAAAGCAGATATGCACAGAGTCCTTCTGGTCTGGGACCTGGGGAATCCCACCCTGCCCCATAGCCCAGCTCTTAGGGACTGTTGTTTTGTGAATTTGTGTGATGCCTGGCTGAGGTCTGGACAAAGCATCCCTGGTGTCACCACATCACTAGGCTGTCCGAGGTAGGGCCATGGTCATTCAAGACCTCATCTAGATTCAGTGGAAAGAGACACCCTATAGAGGACAATCCTGCCTAGCTGTAACTCCTGGTGGGAGGAATGTCTCTTGTGTCTTCTGGGCCATTGACTATAGGGGCAACCCACGATGACAAAGCTCCTTATTTAGGTTTTATTTAGGTTTTTCAGAGAACTACTTGAAGTTGGGTGAGACAAACACAAGGCAAATGTGAGGTATGTGGGGAAAAGTTTGGTGTAATCTTGGTGTTGTACATAATATAAACCTTTTAGAAGGAAAGAGGAAATTTACACCCTTCTGTAAATAGCAGAAGGGTGGTTAGTTCTGAGGCTAGTAAAAAAGTTCAGCTGAGAAACAAGGACAGCATAGAGAAGCTGAGGAGCTTTCAAGAAACCAGGTCTTTTGGGCAAAGCAACAGATCTTCTACATGCAAAAGTCACCAGAAGACAGAAAGTGCCTGGAAGAGCAAGAAGAAAGTGCCTGGAAGAGCTTGGGAAGATGACTTGAAATTGTGCCTTTTTTTGGTCACTTACCCCGAGCAAGTCATAGGCCAAGTAAAGGGACTGTCCAGGGAGTGCTCTTTGTTCACCAAATTGTCCAACTCTTGAATTGTCCGCTTCTTGAAATGGCCTGGAAAAGGGGATGGAGAAGGTGGGAGAAGGGATGGAGGAGGTCAACACAGAAGTTGGCTGAATAGACTATCAGTCAGTACACACATGAATTTGAAGGTTGATGGTTGGACTAGGTGATCTTAAAGGTCCCTTCCAGCCTAAACAATTCTGTGATTCTGTGATTTTATTGCCAGCTCATGTACAACCAAAAGCAAGGCCAGAGAGGTTGGTCGGCACCCATGGTCTTTTGAGTTTGCCAAAGAGCCAGATGTTCCTTGCCATGGGGAAATTACCTTCTGCACCTTGGCATCTGGTTCCTGTAGCTGCCAGTAAAAGAATGGAACGGGCCCATTGTGTGGAGGGGCAGGTGGCACACTGCAACGGCTTTTTCAGATAATTACCAAGAAGAAGTATTCTGACAATTTCTGGCTGAAGTGATGGAGACAAACGCTGTGAAGAAGCTCTGTGAATGCGGCTCGGGGAATCACTGAAATTAGCATTTACTGCTTGGAATTTCAGAGTGCCAAGGCAGAGGATTTCAAGAATGAAGGATTATTTGGTGATGAAACCCTGTTCCTGGTGCTACGCCCCTCAACCAGCAGATCCCAAAGTGAGCAGCCTGGCGGGCAGGCTGTGAGTTAGTGCATGCCCCCTCACACCAGCTTCTGCTCTAAGGGGTGAACACCAAGCCCTTGCCAACCTTCCTGCAGGGTTGGGTGTTTCGGGAACTAACCTAAGAGCAAGCAAAGGGCTTGAAAAATAACACAGAAACCCAGGAATTCGCTTTTCCTGGAATTCCTCGCTCCATTCGAGGAATGAACAAAATGCTTGAGGGGCTTTTGCAAATCTGGCATCTCGATGATCTGCTGGGGCCTGACTGTTGCCTTCATAAAGCTTCTGTGAGGGCCTTCCTTCAGAGAGGGCATTTTTCCTGGTAAGAAAAACAGTATAAGCACACAAACAACAGCTCCAGGAGCAAACCCTCTGCTAATGGGAGAGGGTTATCCATTGTGGATCCCCACAGGGCAGAAGTTACACCAGCCTCAGTGCTCCCATCCTGGGCTGGAGGGGCTCCTGCCTTTCCCTGGCTGCCAACCTGCCACCATCCCACTTTGGCCCACACCAATCTCTATGGGGCTAAAAGAAAGGTAATGGGAAAGTCTTAAGAAGTCTGGAAAAATCAGGAATGCTCCATAGAACCCTGGCTTGTGTGACATCCATCTGCTCAGAGCGCACATTAGCGGGTTGTTTCTTCTAAATTAAAAGCTGTGATAAACTCAGCTGCTCTCCGCTCCATCACCGTATTTATCCTTTGGAGTTAATTTGTGGAGATGAAAGGGACTATTCCCACCTCCTAGATGACTCCTGACCCGAGCTGCCTGTGCGCTGGGGCAGTCCTCTGCATCCCACCATAACAGACCATGGGTCTTTTTGATTTTCCCAGAGTTGCTGACAGAGCAGGGCACGAGCGGCACCCGGCATCCTTGGGATGCAGCTCAGACCACGGGCGGTGGACCTGCCTGGCTCCTGAGCTCTGTCTCTGTAATCACGAGGAGCCTGGCAGACGTCTGAGCCACCAAAACTAGCAATTAAGTGCAATTATCTAAGGGGGGTGTGTGAGTTGTATGGAAACACAGCCCTGCCGTGAGTGCTGGTGTGCAGAGGTAAACACGGAGCTGAGTGGAGAAATAAAAAGTCAACTCTCTCTGAATTTTTATATATATATATTTATTTTTTTTTTACAGACCTGCTCGCTGTTACAGAGCTGAGCCATAAGAGCGGGGATTTTAACAGAGACCCTGTTCAGGTGGATGAGGGACACCCCACTCCCCGCCAAATGCCATAGAGAGGTGAGGATCTGCCCAACTCCACTGTGCAGAATTACTCCGGCAAATCCTACCCGGGGGGATTGGTGAGACATCACTATGAGGGAGCTACCAATCTCATGAGCTCTGGACTTGGTGGGAAATAGGATGGAGAGGGTGAGGTGGGCATCCAAAGGGTGGGTGAAGACAGATCCTGCAAACTGGAAGCTCTGGCTGTTACAGTTTGTGTGTGGTTTTGGGTTACCTTGAGCGGGGCTGAGCAGGAAAGGTAAAACAATGACCCAGATAACATTCCTGGGAAAAACAAAGGAGAAGGTGTCCAATGTTTATTGGGGAGTAGCTCCTGGCTGGCTCCAGCCAGGCTGTAGAGGAGTTTACTCTTCTCAGGGCTAAACTTGAGATCAAAAGGAAGATCTCAAACATTACAGGACCCCAGGACTCAGCCAAGGCTCGGGGAGGAGGGGGATGGAGAGGCTGCTGATCCATACCCACTGCCAGCATCTGAGGAGAGTGGCCACATCTTTGAAATAAATGCAGGTGGCCTTATTTGGACGGGTTGATGTTGGTCAACCAGCTGGCTTGCTTTGTGTGCCACCTAACTGAAGGGGCCACTGGGCATAAAACCCCAGACAGATGTGCCGAAGCCATCTGGAAAGGCTGTCCCTCTGCCTTGGGGCACCACTGGACCACCTCCCTTTGGCTTCCCTGTCTTTGACACCTCTCCTATGAGGACAGGCTGAGAGAGTTGGGGTTGTTCAGCCTGGAGAAGAGAAGGCTCCAGGGAGACCTTAGAGCCCCTTCCAGTCCCTGAAGGGGGCTACAGGAGAGATGGGGAGGGACTCTGGATCAGGGAGGGGAGCCATAGGATGAGGGGGAAGGGTTTTAAACTGAAAGAGGGGAGATTTAGATGAGATCTCAGGAAGAACTTCTTTGGTGTGAGGGTGGTGAGAGCCTGGCCCAGGTTGCCCAGAGAAGCTGTGGCTGCCCCATCCCTGGAGGGGTTCAAGGCCAGGTTGGAGGGAGCTTTGAGCAACCTGGTCTGGTGGGAAGTGTCCCTGCCCAGGGCAGGGGGCCTGGAACTCATTGATCTTTAAAGTCCCTTCCAATCCAAACCATTCTATGATTCTATTCTGTGATTCTATTACATCTCAAAAAGATGCTAACACCTCCCCACACTAAAAAAGGAGCTCCTGGAAATAAAAAAAAAAGTATCACAATGAAAAAACAACTTTCCAAAAGACATCTTTCTTTGAGCGAAGGAGCTTTGAGGGTTATCAGGCAATATTTTCAAACAGGGCTTATAATGATAAAACAAGAAGCCATGGGTTTGTGCCATAGACTCCTGAAGCTACCAGGGGGAGGATGACCTTGAATCTGGCCCAATGGGAATTGAAGGGGATAGTACATTATATCCCCTCAACTTTAAATTACAAATGCCTCAGGACTGTGGGGTTTTTACATATCAAGCAGAGTGCTTGGTGAGACGCTTTGAGGTGGGAATGGCAGCCTTTTATTTTTCTGAGCATCCCAGAAATGTATCAAGGCCGCAGGGAATGTTAATATATTTTATTGGACAAGCCGCTAGAGCTGGAAAAAATTTGTCAGCTGTTGGGCACGCGAACGCTTCCAGAATAAAAGCAAAAAATAACCTTAAAAGCTTGAAAAAAGTGCCCAGAAATAGTTCACTCACGCCAACAACACCTTAAATA